GTTGAAATAACCATCACAATATCAGTAAAATCATCAAGGACAAGGCTTCAGAACAACATATTCCTTTCGTGAAAGAGCTATACTTTCTGAGGTAACCCCTGCCCCAAAAATCTTTAGCTGAAGACAATGTAACATCATTGACCAAGGCAACCCCATCGTGTCCTCAGTGGAATGTCCTTTTCACATTGGCCCTCGGGTTACGCCAGCCAGAGATGACCTGTCAAGGTGAGGCTGGCTGACACACGATGAAGTGTTTCATTAATACCGTCAAACCATGACAACATTTACGGTCCACGTGCTGGACCTTCACGAGTCACCTAGACATGAATCTTTTTAAATTTACATAGCCCAGAACAGTTGAAATACCAACAGCTTTTATCCAAGAGTCACATGGGGGAGTAAGTGCTATATATGCATTATCTCATTTCACTCTCACTGCAACACTGGGATTGTTAACTAGGTATTGTTAACTCTGATTTACCAAGGCCTAAAAAGCTTCCTCATTTTCCCCTTGATCCAAGCATCAGAACGAGGTTTAGAATCAGGTCCATCTAATTCTGTTTTTTTTTTTTTCTTTTTTGAGAAGGAGTTTCGCTCTGTAGCTCAGGCTGGAGTGTAGTGGCACGATCTCAGCTCACTGCAACCTCTGCCTCCCGAGTCCTGGTTCAAGCCATTCTCCTGCTTCAGCCTCCGAAGTAGCTGGGATTACAGGCATGCGCCACCATGCCCAGCTAAGTTTTGTATTTTCAGTAGAGATGGGGTTTCACTGTGTTGCCCAGGCTGGTCTTGAACTCCTGACCTCATGATCTGCCTGCCTCGGCCTCCCAAAGTGCTGGGATTACAGGCATGAGTCACCGCACCTGGCCAGGTCGATCTAATTCTTAACCATTTTGCTATACTGCTAAATACAGAAAGGCCAGGCTTATAATGTTTACATTTATTATGAATTATTAATGACTTATAAACTGAATGGGATCTTGCTTGAATGTTTTTATTATGTTATTATTATTTTGAGACAGGGTCTCATGCTGTCACCCAGGCAGGAGTGCAGTGGCACAATCACGGCTCACTGTAGCCTTGACCTCCTGGGCTCAGGTGATCCTCCCGCCTTAGCTTACCAGGTAGCTGGGACCATTAGTGCCCACCACTACACCCAGCTAATTTTTGTGTGTTTTTTCTGTAGAGAAAAGATTTCACCATGTTGCCCAGGCTGGTCTCAAACCCCTGGGCTCAAGTGACCTCCCCACCTTGAACTCCCAAAGTGTTGAGATTACAGGCATGAGCCAAAGGTACCCAGCTCCTGCTTTAATTATTTTTATGAAGACAACATGCTAGTGAACTGATCTCCTTAATTAGGAAATAGATGGTGAACATGTTTGTGATTGAGTGAGAATGTGTTGTGGGAGCTGCCTAATATTAGTACAGGAGAACCAGTGTGGTGTTGTGGAAAGAGGACAAGGCTAGAGGGAGGCAGGCACTGTCAGCCTGACAGGGTGATGTTGGGGCATTTTTAAAGCCTCTGTGAGTTTCAGTTTGCTCATCAATGAAAGGGGAATACTTACTTCACCAGTGCCTGTATCACAGGGTTTTCGTATGATAATGCATGTGAAAATGCTTCTATGAGCTACAAAATCCTACATGAACACAACAGACAAATCAGGTGTGTGGCATGCAGCAGGTGATTTGAGAAAAAGGCAAATACTGGCAGATCTAACTTCTTACACGAGCTAGAGTAATTTTAGAAAACGGATTTTTATCATTCTTCCCTCCCCCCATTGGTTTGAGAGGAAAAAAATAATACTTTTTTCTTTTTTTTTTTTTTTTTTCTGAGACAGAGTCTCGCTCTGCCGCCCAGGCTGGAGTGCAGTGGCCGGATCTCAGCTCACTGCAAGCTCCACCTCCCGGGTTCACGCCATTCTCCTGCCTCAGCCTCCCGAGTAGTTGGGACTACAGGCGCCCGCCACCGCGCCCGGCTAGTTTTTTGTATTTTTTTAGTAGAGACGGGGTTTCACCGTGTTAGCCAGGATGGTCTCGGTCTCCTGACCTGGTGATCCGCCCGTCTCGGCCTCCCAAAGTGCTGGGATTACAGGCTTGAGCCACCGCGCCCGGCCTACTTTTTTTCTTAACTCAAGCCAAACTGAAAATTGAAGCAATGAATAACATTACAAAGTGGTCTCCTGCATACAAAGCATTTTCCATGCATTATCTCTATTGCATCCTCAAAATCATGCTAAGAGGCAGATATTTCAAAGATGAGGAAAATGAAGTCAAAGAGATCAAATAGGCTTTATTTGATAACTTGGTGATTAATTGGCCAGATGGGGACTCAATACCAGGTCTGTTATGTCCTTTCCTCTTTACTAAGTTTCCTCTGAGTTGAACCCCCATTCTCCCACACCCCTCTATCCCCTGCCCCAAAAATCTTTAGCTGAAGACAATGTAACATCATTGACCAACCACTGGTTTCCTTAGTCAATCAGGCCTTGGTTGAGGACACATTTATTTTCCAGCACTACCCAGAGGGTTCGAAAGGCAGGTTAGACTTGATTTCTTCCCTCAAGGAGCATGTAATCTTTCTGGAGAGACAAGATATAAAATGTTGAAATAACTAGAGAGACAATGTGTTAAATCATATACCATGGAATCTAAGCATAATAGATTCAGTGCAGGAAAATCCACCATAGGCGGGGGTGGTCAGGGAGAACTTCCCGGAAAAGGCAGAACTTGAGTTTCCTCCCAAAGTCATGGCAGAATGGAAGCCAGGGTCAGATCCTGAGTCCCAGTCAAGTGTTGTCTCACTACACAGATTGGTGCCAAAGGGAAGAGTAGATTATACATTAAAATGTTCTTTTCCTTTAAATACACCCAGCTCTTTGAGCTGCTGGATGTAATTCCCAGCAAGCAGAGGCAATCTGTGAATGTTTGTTATCTAATAGGTTCCTTCTTATGTTAGTTGAAATAACCATCACAATATCAGTAAAATCATCAAGGACAAGGCTTCAGAACAACATATTCCTTTCGTGAAAGAGCTATACTTTCTGAGGTAATACTCATTTAAAAAGGGGTATTCTTTTATGTGGCTTTCCCAAGAATGCAGCCTGGCAATTTAAAAGTCCAAGTAGTAAAGCTTCCCCTTTGGAAACCTCCTTTATATCTACCATGTGCACATTCGCCAGGCATAATGTTAAAAATATTGTGACACAAAATTACCGCCCCATCCTTTCAAGTTTGATGCAGCCAGTTTAACGTTCAATATCGCTGTTCGCAGAAATGCTTTTTGATCTGAGGAGATGTGAGACACAGCCATCCCACAGCTGGAATGTAAGGATTCTACAGAAGAGCATGGATTAACTTGAAAGTGCGGTGGAACGGGATGGTCTCATCTCATTAGTGACCAAGAGTTCACAAGAAACTCCCTGTTTGTTTCAACACATTGTAAATCTGCGTCCCCAGTGCCAAACTCTGTATCTGGCATAAAGTAAGTACTCAAGAAATAAATACTGAATCAATGAAGAGCTACAATCTTTCATGATCCAGCACTTTATAATGCTTTTAGAATCCGTATTCTAACCATAATCATGTTGATCATGTGCTGTCAGGTGTGTATTAAGCACTTTGTAAATATGATCTTACTTGTTCCATACAAGAATCACGTAGAGGCAGGTATTACTCCTCCCATTTAATAGATGAGGAAACTGAGGTTTAGAGAATGAAGCAATTTCCCCAAGTTCACACCCAGTTCCACACAATGCCTAAGCTCATGCTGCCACCCTCTGTTTACAATGCCGCTCAACCTTCAGGTGCATCAGGCAGGAATAGAGATAGAGCAAAAGCAGATGATAATAGCAGTATTAATAAAATATAAAAATATATTTAGTGCTTATTCTTTTTAAGTGATATATATATATACACACTTTATCTCATTTATTTATCATTACAACCATAAGAGGTAAGTTCTATTTACCTTCTTACACAGATGAGTAAACTGAGGCATATATAAGAATTTAAGAAATGCACTTTGGGAGGCTAGAGTGGGAGAATTGCTTAAAGCCAGCAATTCAAGACCAGCCTGGGCAATAAGGCAAGCCTGCCTCTACAAAAAAAAATAATAAATAAATAAATAAATAATAAAAAATTAGCCAGGCATGGTGGCATGTGGCTTGTAGCCCCAGCTCTTCAGGAGGGGTAAGGCAAGAGGATCCCTTGAGCTCAGGAGTTTAAGGCTGCAGTGAGCTATGATTGTGCCACTGCACTCCATCCTGGGCAACAGAGCAAGTTTTTTTTTTTTTTTTCCCAAAAAAAAGCCTGGTGACAGAGTGAGACCCTGTCTCAAAAACAAACAAACAAACAAACAAACAAAAAACAACCACCTTATTTTTACCTATTGTACCTCTACTTAACCAAAATTGGACTATAAAGGTATAAAAGGCAAACAAGTCTTGTTAACTGACTATTCCAGTTAATGGATTTATCACACATCTGATGATGTCTTGAGCCTTGGCTTACCTCCCTGTGTAAAGAGGAGGTGGGACAAGATAAGGCTGATTCATGGTCCCTGCCAGGAATGCACCTGGATGGCCCTATGATTCCCTCATCGCTCATCACTTCTCGGTGGTACTGAAAGGCAGTTGATACCTGTTTGAATTGTGTCAATCAGAAAAGGCAATGTGCCGAGTTTGTTAATGCCAACCTAAACAACTTCTCAGTTGCTCTGTCAGCGCTGTCAGTACCCTGGGCCTTGTTGTGGAGCAGAAAAAAAAAAATGCTTAAGCATGTCTCCCCAACCCTTTCTTTAAAGGTGCTGCAGGGCTGTGGAGCTGGGGTTGTTTCAGTATTAGCTGTCTCAGGAAGCCAGCTTTGTTGTTCACACCTGTCCTGGGCACCTTTGCATAGTCAACAACTGAGTCTCTCTCCCATCAGTCACTCCTTTGGAAACTGCTCTTTCTCCTCTAAAATTAAGCCTTTGAGCTTTTGCTTCTCAACATTTCATACTGATAGTATCAAAAGGGCATTAACTTTCTCAGAAGTGACATATTAAGCTGAAGAATTCCGATGGTGTGATTTCAATGACCTAACTGCATGTCAGTCACGTTGCACGTTGAGATGGCCTCAAGCGGCTCCAACAGGGCAGCAATTGTGCAAGAAGCTGACACTTCCCAGCTTCAGTCATCAGCTTGGGCTTTCTACTCTCTCCTTCTGGTAGGTGAGTCTCATCTTGGCCCCAAATTCATTGGTCGTGGTCCCACATATAGAAGGAGTTAAAGGCAGAGGCACAATTCAGGGGCAGAGGGAGAAAATGGACTGAGTTCCCATGCCAGGAGTCATGCCAAGCACTTTAAAATTTCTCCTTTTAATCTACATATGTCACCACGAGTAAGAGTGTTTTTATCTTCATTTTATAGATGGGGGCAGGGAGGCGACTATTAAATGTTAAAGCTGGGCCTCCAACCCAGATCTGTCAGATTCCAAAAGAAAAATCCTTGGATCTTTTTAAGCTTGATGCTTTCTTATTTTTTTTAGGACGAAACACTGGAACTCTCCAGAATAAATTGGTACCTGGGTCTCTTCCAAAGTGAGTTGCTCTTAGGAGCTTCAAATGAGGGTCTTTGAAGCCACATGAAAATTGATGAGTGGTTGTAATATCCAAGGTACCAAATCAGACACACTTGTAATTGTTCCCAATGCGAGTTTTCAGCCCAAAGTTCTCTTCTCTCTCTCCTTCATTTTTCCTGAGTACATGGGGGAGAAAGTCATGATGAGGGGATGATCTGCCTTCCAGTTTAAAATCATAAGAATGGCTTGGAGACTTAAGAGCAGTGAGATTCTGGACCATTAACAACCACACTAACTTGCGGCTTCCTCATCTGTTCAATGGGGCTAATGACTGTTCAACGGCTGTCTCTTCAGCCTACTGCAGAATATAGGGATGGTACCTGTGAAGCCCTTTGTAAACTGCAGAGTGCCATGTCTACTTTTACTGATTCACTCTTTCCATAGATATGGTGTACCTCTTTGTGAAATGTATGGTGTAGTGAAAACCAATGAAGAAAATACAATCTCTTGCCTTAATGTATGCACATTCTTGAATAGAAAAGACATTTACAGAAATAACTGTAAAAGAGTGTAGAAGAGAAGAAAACAGGCACCAGAACAAAGAGAAACACAAGATGCAGGTTGAGGGGGACCTGAGAGTTAAGTGAGGGGATTCAGAAAAATGGAAGAAAGTAGCTTAGTTAAGAGCGGTCTGGAAGACTAAATCTATGGAAGGTGGCAACTATTTCATTAAATTACGCATTCCTTCATCTATTACCAATTTATCACATGCTTATTATGTACTGGCTACTGTGCAAATTAGTGCGCCAATGTGGAGAGGTGAAATAGGGAATGCTGGCAGGCTGTCCATAGAGAAATGTCCAATGGGAGGTTGGAAATGCAAATCTTGCGTTCAGGAAAAGAGTCAGGGTTGGCCGATAAATTTCAGTCATGCTTATAGAACTGCCAGTTGAACCTATAGGAGCTGATGAGCACACCAGATATGCAGGTGAGATTAGATGGTGAGGGAAGGAGGAGGGACAGGGACAGAAACTTGTGGGGGAATCCATAAATATGAGGTTGAAAGAGGAAGAGAAGTCAGCAAAGCACACTAAAAAGAGTCTCAGAGAGGTGGGAAAAAAGGGTGAAAGTTGCTATGAAAAGGTAACCAGCTGCGTCCCATTCTACAAAGTTCACTGATGACTGAGAAGAAACCACTGGGTTTATCAATTAAGACATTGTTGGGGCTCTAGGAGTCAACATACAGCTCTCCCAAGTCCAGGACAAGTTACTATAATCATCTGATTCGTGGCCACTAGTAATCATGATAGAATGCCTGGGTTGGAATTCTAGGCCTGCCACTTACTAGCTATGTGACTTGGACAACTTAACTTTTTTTTTCTGTGCGCCAGTTGGAGACTTACTACTACTTACTACTCATAATAACCATATGAAGTACCATTACTACTTCATATGGTTATTATGAGGATCTGATAAACATCACAATAGCACTTACCCAATAGTACACACACAATAGCACTCACCCACAATGGAACTTAGAACAATTATTGATATATGATCAGCACTCAATATGTGTAAACTATGACATGCAGGCCAATCCACCTAGAAAGGCATATTTTCAAAAGCTCATGGCCTCTGAATTGAGGAAGCACAGATCAGATCAGCCTCTTCAACCCCCGACGAGGCTCCCACTCATGTAAGGCACCCATGGCTTTGTAATGGCACCCAACGCTATGGGCTGGCATGAAAATTGTGTGACTCACGTCATATGCATCCCCAAGAAGGTGAGGCTATTGCTGCAAAGCTGACCAGTTTGTGGAAGGTAAGGACTTTTCATTGATTAGCTTTGGGGAAACCACTGTAACAAGTCTTAAACATCATCACATTTGACTGGTTTGTAAGTTGTGGCAAGTGAACCCAGGTCTAACACTTAGGAACAAGGAAGAAAACAGGAAGATTTTGTTACTTGTAATCACAGCTTTTTACTCCACAGATTTTCTGTGAGTTAGGTTCAAAACATTTAATTCCACTTTTTCCCTCTATGTGGCACCTCATTTGTTACCAGGGTTTTACAGATGGAGACACATAAAAGTGAAATGAATAGTCCAAGGCTATCTTCTCCCACTACTCCCAGCCCTACCCTGCAGTGTGTAATTGTGGAGCCATGGACAATGTACCAAGGCAGCAAACATCACTGGCTTGAAGATGACTAGTAGCTGTGGTCAGCTTGCTGGGGACCCAAGCTCCTGAGGGTGCTTAAGAAGTGTGGGAGGACTCCTAAAGCTGTTGTTGAAATCTGTTTAGATTATGGGACTAGGAACCTGAGGAAGCTAAATTTACTTTACAAGTCAACTGGATTAGCACTAAAGTAATTTTCCTTGTGTAAACCCAATTTTAGGTAATGCATGAGCTAAATTTGGAGCAGGGGGCTGAGACACAGATTTCCTGTACTCTCGAGCTCTTGCAGATCTCAGCAGATAACAAAGCTATTATCCTGGCAGAAATGGAAGCATCCTCAAATCCTGTCAGATGGCAGCATGGACAAAAATTACAACCAAATGCATTTTTAAGCTGATGCACTTTCTTAAGTCTGGCTCCTAAAAGCAAAACATGCTCTTCTAGAAGTTTTAGTGAAAACAAGAATGCTGCTGGTAAGGAAATCTCTAGGTGATGCCAGGGACTGACAACAGAGGATTTCTGAGAGAAGAAAGAGACAAGGATTTGGACTAAGTTTCTGAATGGAATCATTGTCCTTTTTGTTTTTCCCTTCTGTCTCCCTGCTTCACCCCCACACCTCTAGAGTTTCTTAGCAGGCATTTTGGAGGAAAAGATTTGGATCAGAAATTCAGAAATTACCTGGGCTCACAAAAATATGGTATGAAAGTATTTTTTAAATGGTTTGAAGTTAAAGGTCTTTATTCCACTGCTCCTAACATAGTCTCTTAATTCCCTACCTACTCTCAGCCCCTCCAGCACCATCCTGCCTTCTGCTTCCAAGATGCATGAGCTTTCTGAAGAGCTGGTGAGAATATTGAAACTTCCTGGCCTTGGTTTCCCATCTGGTAAAACGAGGAAGACCAAAGCTTAACCCTCACAAGGAATATGTAGGCAATGAACACTGTATGATTTAAGAGACCCTTGTGATAAATTGAGTACTAACTTTGAAATTACAAACAGAAACAACCCTCCTTAGTTATCCTGTTTTTCAGGCAGGAAGCGAGCAGAAGAAAGATGAGGATGGGAATTCAAAGACTTGCGTTTTAATCTCAGCTGTGATACTTGCCAGCTGCCTGTCCTCAGGGCTCAATGTTCAACTGACCTGAATGCAAAACCCAGCTCTATACCTGATAGGCTGTGTGACCTTAGAAAAGTTACTTGCTGCCTCTTACCTTCAGATTCCTTATCATCAAATGGAGAAGGAAATACTTGCCTCTAATGGTCTTCCTTCCCACTTTACAATACATTTATGCACATAAGATCTAGTTTTAAAAGACAATATGAATAAAAGAATAATTTGATTTTAGAATAGGCAAAGGAGAAAAGTGAGTTGCCTTCATCGCTTTGAATATCAGAAGGATTTACCCACCGATTCTAATTGCACTTGTTCATTAACTCCACGGATATTTGATTAAAAGTTATGTTCCTATTGTACATATGGAGAATACCTGGCCTCATGGAACAGATAGTGCTATGTGGTATGGACAAAGACAGGGAGACTGAGTATGCAGAGGAGGTCACGTGACCTTTTACTGGATGGATATAGCAAAGGCTTCCTAGAGGAAGTGATGTCTAAACTGACAGGGTTAGCTCTGGTCTGAGTTGTATCTGTTGGTAGGGCTAAGTAATAGGACATTTGGAAATCAGAAGCCCCCAAAAGACAACATATTCCTGCCCATCCCACCCTACCGTATAACAAAAGGAAGGGAGGAGGGCCTGAATGAGGTAACTCACACCTATAATCCCAGCACTTTGGGAGGCAGAGGTGGGAGGATTGCTTGAGCCCATGAGTTTGAGACCAGCCTGGGCAACAAAGTGAGACCCTGTTCTCTACAAAAAATACATAAATTAGCTGGCATGCTGGTGTGTGTCTGTAGTCCAAGCCATTTGGGAGGCTGATGCACGAGGATTGATTGAGCCTGGGAGGTTGAGGTTGCAGTGAGCTGAGATTGTGATTTTTCAGAAAGGATAAGTAACTTTGCCTACAGGGCTCTTCTATAGCACAAGGAAGATTCTATGTGTGAAGGTGCTATCTAGGCACTGTGCACCAAATTGTAAGTGCAGGAACGGAGCTCAGGGCTTGAGTCAAAAAATGTGATTTGAGCCCAAACTCTGCCACCTGCTCAGATTGCTCAGAAAATACCTTGGAGAAGTTACTTATCCTTTCTAAACCTCATTTTCTTCATTTATAATTCCAGCTACAGCAGCCTCACAAGACTGTGAAGATTAAAATAAATAAGAAATGTATAATTTTTAAGGAAACTTTAATATAAGCTGTTTTCATGCCAATCTTGTGCATTGGAGCTAATCAATAAGGTGTAGAAGATTTGGCTGCCTCTGCTCTGATAAAACTCAGAACAATAGTTGATGCCACGTCTCTCAAACTGGGGTATCTGTAAGACACACCTAGAGGTTGGACTAAAGATGCAGATTGCCAGGAACCACCCCCAGAGATCAGAAGTATCTGTGGAGCTTCTTTTGCATTCTAATTCCTGGCCCAAGCTCTAGAGATTGTGATTCAGTAGTTCTAGGGCGGGTCCAAGATACCTGTGATCCTTTAAATAAATCATTTTCCCTGGGTTTTCTGGAGATTTGGATTTGGGAGGACCAGGATAGGGTCCTAAACATTATTTTCAACAATCCCCCAAGGGATGCTTATGACCCTGTAAGGGTGACCCATATAACAGAAGCTTGTTGAAACTTGTTGCCAAATGACTTTCTTCTGTACCTCTCTACACAATCTCCAGAACACAGAATGCCCCTTTGAGACCTTATCTCTCTGACTTTTCCATTTAAGACTGTCATTGCTGAACACTCTTTTGCTCACTTGTTGTTTTAGAATGTTGTATTGGGGGGTGTGTGTGTGTGTGCGTGTGTGGTGTGACGGGTGGACTGGCGGCTCACTCAACCTGACTTGCCTAGGCATTGGGAGCCCCATAGTGATTCCCACGGCCAGCTCCGCCCTTGTCACTTAACTCTTCCTGCCAGAAGTAGAGAGCTGAATACACCCAGCCATTTGAATGTTCTGGCTAATTGAGATTTTTAAAGACTACAGTGACTTCACATTTTGTTTCCTACCACTTAAAGCTAAACAGTGGCCTTTTTTTTTTTTTTTTTTTTAGATGGAATCTCGCTCTGTCACCCATGCTGGAGTGCAGTGGTGTGACCTCGGCTCACTGCAACCTCTGCCTCCCAGGTTCAAGCAATTCTCCTGCCTCAGCCTCCCTAGTAGCTGGGATTACAGGCATGCACCACCATGCCTGGCTAATTTTTGTATTTTTAGTAGAGACAGGGTTTCACCATGTTGGTCAGGCTGGTCTTGAACTCCTGACCTCAGACCATCCACCCGCCTCAGCCTCCCAAAGTGCTGAGATTACAGGCATGAACCACCATGCCCGGCCTAAACAATGACTTAAAAACAAAACAAACAAACAAAAAAAACCACAAGTGAACAAAAAAACCCAGATGTTAAAAATATGATGCCCAAATCAAAACCAAAATTTATACAACCATATAAAATAATTAAACATGTCATTTATTCACCAGTAAAATGATTATGATTTAATGCAGAGCCAAACTCTGACCACCGATGCTGAATATTTATGACTGGCTCCCTCAGAACACAGAGGTAGCTGCAGAAATATGCTCTTATTCTACTCTACCTCCACGTGATGAATGATTATTTTACTTAGTAACAGAGTGAGTGAGACCGAATTTGAAAATACGTCAGAGGTGAGGCCCAGTAAAAGTATATTTATAAATAGGGGTTATTGTAATCAGCTCTAAGTGGGCTTAAAATAGAAATTTAAACAGTAAATTGTTAAAAAAAAAAAACCCAATACAATCTTTACTAATCAAGAAAAGCACTCAATTTGCTGGCACTTTAAAGTGCATTCTGAAAATCTATTAACAAAGCCAGACTTTTAAAAAAAGACCCCTAGCTCCCTTATTTAAACTTGTGAAAAGAAGGAAAAAAACACAAAGGTGAAACATAATAGGCACTGCATAATGATCACAAGGATGGAACAGCAAAGAAAATGAAAAAGGAATTTATGATGATTACCCCGTGAAAACTCTCTGAAGCACATAAAGCTTTTTAATCACCTAAACTAGCTATCATTGTTCATAATCATTCTCATGTTTGTATAGCATGTGACAGAGGGCTTTGTGGTTAAGAGAGTCTGAGACTTAGAGCCAGACATCCTAAGTTCAAATGCTGGCTCTGCTACTTACTGACCACCTGAACTCAAGTAAATTACACAACCTCTTAGTGCCTCACTTTTCTCATCTGCAAAATGGGGGCACCAACTACTGAAAAGGTTATTCTAAAAATTAAATGAGATAATACGTGTAGAGCACTTAATATAATACCTAGTACATAACACACACAATAAGTGGTACCTCTGACTATTATTATTATTCTATGATCATTTCAACAACCATATGAGGAAAGTGTTATCATCCTTGTTTTACAGATGAGGAAACTGAAGCTCTTGGGGTAACATGACTTGTGAAACTGCATGCTTCTCCTCAGTGGCAGGGCGGGGACTCTGGATGGAGGAACTGCCAAGACCTTCTAGATCTCTGACATGCATAAACTGGCACGTTTAGAGAATAACGAGGAAAACAAAGTAAAACAAAAGACGGTACCTGTGTGCTAAGAATTTATTACCCCCACATCAAAAAACTTATCCACCACGATCAAGTCGGCTTCATCCCTGGGATGCAAGGCTGGCTCAGCATATGCAAATCAATAAATGTAATCCATCACATAAACAGAACCAGAGACAAAAACCACATGGTTATCTCAATAGATGCAGAAAAGGCCTTTGATAAAATTCAACATCCCTTCATGTTAAAAACCCAATAAATTAGATATTGATGGAACATATCTCAAAATAAAAGAGCTATTTATGACAAACCCACAGCCAATATCATATTGAATGGGCAAAAGCTGGAAGCATTCCCTTTGAATACTAGTACAAGATGAGGATGCCCTATTCTCACCACTCTATTCAACCTAGTATTGAAGTTCTGGCCAGGGCAATCAGGTAAGAGAAAGAAAAAAAAGCATATTCTAATAGGAAGAGAGGAAGTCAAATTGTCTCTGTTTGCAGACAACATGATTGTGTATTTAGAAAACCCCATCGTCTCACCCCAAAAACTCCTTAAGCTGTGAGAAACTTCAGCAAAGTCTCAGGGTACGAAATCAATGTGCAAAAATCACAAGCATTCCTTTACATCAACAATAGACAAGCAGGGAGCCAAATCATGAATAAACTCCCATTCACAATTGCTAGAAAGAGAGTAAAATACCTAGGAATACAGCTAACAAGGGATGTGAAGGACCTTTTCAAGGAGAACTACAAACTACTGCTCAAGGAAATAAGAGAGGACACAAACAAATGGAAAAACATTCCATCCTCATGGATAGGAAGAATCAATATCATGAAAATGGCCATACTGTCCAATGTAATTTATAGATTCAATGCTATCTCCATCAAGCTACCATTGACATTCTTCACAGAATTAGAAAAAAACTACTTTAAATTTCCTATGGAAGCAAAGAAGACCCTGTATAGCTAAGAAAAGCCTAAGGAAAAAGAACAAAGTTAGAGGCATCAAACTACCTGACTTCAAATTATACTACAGGCTACAGTAACCAAAACAGCATGGTACTGGTACCAAAACAAACATATAGACCAATGGAACAGAACAGAGACCTCAGAAATAACACCACACATCTACAACCATCTGATCTTTGATAAACCTGACAAAAACAAGCAATAGGGAAAGGATCTCCTATTCATTAAATGTTGCTGGGAAAACTGTCTAGCCATATGCAGAAAACTGAAACTGGATCACCTTTCCTTATACTTTACACAAAAATTAACTCAGGATGAATTAAAGACTTAAATGTAAAACCCCAAACCATAAAAACCCTAGAAGAAAACCTAGGCAATAGCATTCAGGACATAGGCATGGGCAAAGACTTCATGATGAAAACGCCAAAAGCAATTGCAACAAAAGCCATAAGTGACAAATGGGATCTAATTAAACTAAAGAGTTTCTGCACAGCAAAACAAGCTATCAGTACAGTGAACAGGCAGCCTACAGAATGGGAGAAAAATTTTGCGATCTATCCATCCGACAAAGGCCTAATATCCAGCATCTATAAGGGACTTAAACAAATTGACTAGAAAAAAATAACCCCATCAAAAGTGGGCAAAAAATATGAATAGACACGTCTCAAAAGAAGACATTTACATGGCCAAGAAACATGAAAAAAAGCTCAATATCACTGATCATTAGAGAAATGCAAATCAAAATCACAATAAGATACCATCTCACACCAGTCAGAATGGCGATTATTAAAAAGTCAAGAAACAATAGATGCTAGTGAGGCTGTGGAGAAATAGGAACACTTTTACACTGTTAGTGGGAATGCAAATTAGCTCCCACTAATTAAATGTAAAACTGGAACCAGAGACAAAAACCACATGGTTATCTCAATAGATGCAGAAAAAGGCCTTTGATAAAATTCAACATCGTTTCATGTTAAAAACTCAGAATTTGTGCCTGTTTCTTTCACTGTCATATCCTTCGTTCTTAGAACAGGAGCTGGCTCACAGTAGGTGCTCAGTAAATATTTGTGGACTGAAGGAAAATCTCAGGGCCCTTCTTGGTCAGGAGCTTGTACCATTAAGTCTCTACCTCCTCCCAACCCACCACGTGTGATGGGTTATTTAGTGCATTAGTTAATCCCTCCTCTCTTAATCAATTCCACATGTCCATATCTGCCTATTAATCAATTCCACATGTCCATATCTGCCATATCTGTACTGCTGGAAGACAGTACAGCAATTCCTTAAAGACCTAGAACCAGAAATAACATTTGACCCAGCAGCCCCATTACTGGGTATATATCCAAAGGAATATAAAACATTCTACTCTAAAGACACATGCACACATATGTTTATTGCAGCACTATTTACAATAGCAAAGACATGGAACCAACGCAAATGCCCATCAATGATAGACTGGATAAAGAAAATGTGGTACATATACACCATGGAATACTATGCAGCCATAAAAAAGGATAAGTTCATGTCCTTTGCAGGGTCATGGATGAAGCTGGAAACTATCATTCTCAGCAAACTATCACAAGAACAGAAAACCAAACACCGCATGTTCTCACTCATAGGTGGGAAGCTGAACAATGAGAACACATGGACACAGGGAGGGGAACAGCACACACCAGGGCCTGTTGAAGGGTGGGGGTGAGGGGAGGGAACTTTGAGGACGGGTCAATAGGTGCAGCAAACCACCATGGTACACGTATACCTGTGTAACAAACCTGCATGTTCTATATATGTATCCCAGAACTTAAAGTAAAATAAAATAAATAATAATAAAAAAAGAATTTATTACCCATGAAGGGATAGGATGCATATTACTTCATGCTATATTGCTTAGTAGAGGACTGGGTACTCTTGTGACTTTTCCTTTGGACTCATCAGCATCCGCCTTGCAAAGTCCTGTCACACATGGCTTTAAGTAAAAATAATAATGATAAATAAAAAACCACCTACAAGAGGACAGCTCAGTGTGGTAGAGAGAGCTGCCCACGGCACCCAGGGTGTGGATATGAACCCTGACTCTTCCATGTACTAGTTTTAGGATCTTGAACAAGTTGCTTCACCCCTCTAAGCCTGAGTTTCTTCATCTATAATAGGGGATTAATAATAGTAAGGATGTTTTAAGAAATATCCTAAGGGTGATATAAGATAACACAGACAAATAGCCTAGTGCAGAGTTTCTCAGTCTCAGCGCTATTGACGTTTGGGGCTGGAGAGTTGTTTGTTGGAGCAAGCTGGCCTGTGCACTGTAGGATATTTAGCAGCATCTCTGGCCTTAACCCACTAGATGCTCATATAATACCTTTCCAGTTGTGATAACCAAAAATGTTTGTAGACATTGCAAAGTGTCCCCTGGAGGGCAAAATCACCCTTGGTAGAGAACTGCTGACCTTGCCCAAAGCCTGGCACAAATGGGTGGTCAATAAATGTTCATTCTTTCCCTCCTTTTAGATAGAAATTTTTTTTTAAAGTGAAGTGAGACACGACTAATTTAGAATCATGTTAATTCAGACAATGGGAGAACTGAAATCTGTATTTTCAGTAACATGAAAAAATTAAGTGTCCACAGTTATTTAGAGAACACTGTGTATTCACTTATGAAAACATACTATTTATAAGGACTCATGTGAAAGTCATTTACATTCAGTTAATATACTAAGTTCTCAAAGCCTCAGAAAACACATTTAAATCACCAACCATTTCAGGCAAATTTTAACTGATAATTGTAGTTAAATATATTGAAATGGCAATTACATATTTTTAAAGAAACAAATAAACTCTTTCTGACTTTGTCCTCTTACTGCAGATTAACTTTCCTTTAAATAAGCAGCTTAATGAAGTTTTGTTTCACTCACATATCTAAAGTAGAAGATACTTTATAAATGTTGCATTGAGATTTTCTAGTTTCTTACAAACTTTTTAAGCAGGAAATTCTTTTCCATAGCGAACCTAACGTCTCCCTGCTGCTTTTTTAGCCTGTTGCCTATTGTTCAAGCTTCATGGAAAATGAGACCAGATGTTCATAAGAAGAGCCTCATTGCCTCATTCTTGTGTACCTGGAGATTGTAAGTAACACCAGGCCTGGCCTGGGACTTCCTCATCTGGACCAATGATTCTCAACAGGGGGGTGATTGTCATCCCAGGGGACACCTGGCACTGTCTAGAGACACTTTTGGTTGTTGAAACTGGGGAGAGAAGGGTTGCTGGCATCCAGTGCGTGGAGGCCAGGCAATGCTGCTAAGCGTCCTGTAACACACAGGGCAGCCCCTGTAACCAGAAATTATTATCCAGGTTCAGGTGTCAAGGTTAAAAAATCCTGCTCTAGACCATGGCTCTGAGATGAATTGGGCAGATGAACAATGAATTAACTGTTTAAAAAAAGTGAAGTCAATCAAACCCTGCTTGTCTGGCTTTGAGATAGACACCTGTTGCATTCTTCAGGAAGTTTCTTCTAAGCTGACCTTTGTGCATATTCCCATCACAGCACTTGTATCACCAGCACAATGCTGGCGCACCGTGGACATGTAATAAAAGGCAGGTGAATAAAAGTACAACTATGAGACCCAACAATGAATCTCCAGGGTTCCCTTAACCTCCCTCTCTGGACACATCAATGTAAGCTCTGACAGACTGAGAGGGACTTCTCTTTGTGAGAAGAAAGGAAGTGTGTGTGAAGGAGCTGGGTTTGCTTGTCTCACCCTTCCGCTGTCTACACCAGGAGTTGAAGTTTATTTTCCTTCTTTGCCTCACACTGACAGGGATAGAGGCAATAGATTTGGTTTCATTTACCATTTCACTTAGTCGCCTGAAATGTAAAAACCGCACAAACAGATCTGATTCCATACTTTCCACACTCCTTCTTGTGGTGCTGCTAAGTGGAGCTGTTAAAACAAACAGGAGAAATGTGGAGGTCAGGGTTCTGCTACCTACTTGTAGTCTACTTAGCTGTTGGTGCCTCTGTCTCCCACTCTCTCCAGACCTCTCCCCATCCCTACTTGCACCTCTTGAGAGCAGGACCTTCTTTTCCTCATCGCCTGAATACAGGAAGTGTTACAGTTATTAATGGGGACCAGCTCTTAATGTTTGGCCAATAACTATATAGCATACACCTAAAAGCAGGGGTCTGTAACAAGTTGAAAGGAGATGACAATTAATTGTAAAGTGTTACCCAAGCAATTTCTAGGATGCCTTTTTACTCCTCGATTCTGCCAAACATGCTTCTGTCACAAAGCTTTTAGATTAGCCGTCCCGTTTGCCTGGAATTATCTGTCTCTCTTTCTCAGATAAACTCATGGCTCATTCTCTCACTTCATTCAAGCCTTTGCCCAAATGTCACCTTATCAGAGAGGCCCCCCCTAATCAACCCATGTAAAGTAGCAACTCTCTACCACATCACTCTCTTTCTTCTCCTTGTGATTTCTGTTTCTTCTTAAGCAATTGTTCTTTCCTGGCATCCTTGAGTTCCCACTCAAGAATGTAAGCTCCAAAGCAATAGAGCAGAATTTGTGCCTGTTTCTTTCACTGTCATATCCTTCGTTCTTAGAACAGGAGCTGGCTCACAGTAGGTGCTCAGTAAATATTTGTGGACTGAAGGAAAATCTCAGGGCCCTTGTTGGTCAGGAGCTTGTACCATTATGTCTCTACCTCCTCCCCAACCCATCATGTGTGATGGGTTATTTAGTGCATTAGTTAATCCCTCCTCTCTTAATCAATCCCACATGTCCATATCTGCTTATTACTTAGTGTTTATCAAAACAGCTTAACTATGGGCTCCCAAAGACTCCTTAGGAATGAGACAACACCACGGTGAACAGAGACTCCCCTGTTCCGTACCCTGTGGCACTATTAGACTCTCCATGGCCTCAGGCATGGAGTCCCTTGATGTCCCAGTTTAAGGTTTTTACTCTACTGAGGGCATAAAACTCTTCCCTGTTTACTTTCTGCACAGAGCAGCCGAATAGTTTTTTCAGAGCCATTGTAGAAGGTAAAAGTAAAAATTTCTACCCATAAAACTGTGTATAATACCCTCATGATTTCATCTGTGACCCTGAACCTTTCCTTTTCTCCAAATTCTTTTTATTTTTGTAAAAGAATGCACTACGCACCAGCATCTGGCTTGTAAAAATAAATATAGTGACTGGCTTTCCCAAATAACTTGGCCTAATCATCGAGTGCTCCTGAAAAGACCCGTCTCCTGAGATGCAGCAATCTTATGAACGATCTATTCCATGGTCCACGCACAGAGGGGGCACTTGCATAGGTTGAATTACATACCCCAGAGTATCTGCATTTAGAATGAGGACTGGCCGGGCGCGGTGGCTCAAGCCTGTAATCCCAGCACTTTGGGAGGCCGAGACGGGCGGATCACGAGGTCGAGAGATCGAGACCATCCTGGCTAACACGGTGAAACCCCGTCTCTATTAAAAAATACAAAAAAAAACTAGCCGGGCGAGGTGGCGGCGCCTGTAGTCCCAGCTACTCGGGAGGCTGAGGCAGGGAGAATGGCGGGAACCCGGGAGGCGGAGCTTGCAGTGAGCTGAGATCCGGCCACTG